GTGGTGCGTGTTGGTGGTAGTCACAAGCATTTTAATTGTTTGTGATCAAGAAATTGGCATATGTGACTAACTATTTAGTTATTTGTGATCAACTGTTTAATTGTGATCTTAGAATTTGACAACTTGTGATCAATTAATTTGACATCGAAATACTCTATGACTTGTAAATTTTTTGTCTGTGACCTCGAAATAATTTGTGACCAATTAATTTGATGATATGTGATCAAAAAATAAATTTTTTTCTATAATTATGAATATGTGACAATTAATCGAATAACTGTGACTTTATTATAAATATTTAATAAATATTTTTAATTAATTAAATACATACCTGAATTTTGAATTTTTAAACTATTTACTTGATGTTTGAAATGGTGTAAAGAATACACTTGAGATATGAATTTTCCCTTGTTTTTTAATAAACCCAAATTAATTAATTTGATTATCTATTTCATGGGCAAAATTTAATTAATTGGATTAGTTAAGGGGGTGTTTGAACTACATTATTTTGGTAATAATGCATTCTTGAATAGTATATTGACGGGAAATGTGTGGTTAAAAAATAACGAAAAGTTTTTGATCTACGTGTAATATTATTTTATTGAAGAATGTGTGGTTGAAATGATGTCAAATCACTGTTTAAGAATATATTTTTTTATAATAATGTGGCTCAAACAAGCCCTAAATATTGGACTTGATTAAGTTAAGAAACGAGCCAAGTCCCCGTGGACTTATATTAATAGGCTTCAAGGGTTTGAAAAATAAGTAGAGAACATAATTATTTTTTGTTAGCACAAGAAAAGAAAAATCACAATTCTCTCAATCTTGTTCCTTGTATGGATTTTCATTGGAGGTCAGACAATTGGACAACTATGAATTGTAGATTGTAACTGTTTTGTGTTACACGATCAACAAAGAAGTTAGTAGAATTTACAAAAAATTATAATTTTTTTTCACAATTTCTATCCAGCATAAAGCAGATCCTTGGTGAAAATAGAAATTATTTTATTATTCGCTGTGCATGATTAGGCCCTCGTTTGTCCCCCATTATTTTTTATTATAATGGAAAAAATAGTGCTATTTTTTTTTTCAAAAGAAGTCCTAAAGGAACTTTGGGAAAGTATCTAAGATGACTAAGACATTCAAAGTAAATAAGGACATAATGAAGTTTGATAACCTTTGATCATCATGGACTTTAAGTTCATTCGAAAAAAGATTGCAAGGCTTATATCTATTTCATTAACTTCTTGGGCATTAGAAATCCGATATAGATTCATATTTATATAAATATGCAGAAACTAAATAGAGAATACAATTCCAAAAATTACATAGAGATGTATATTTGGGGCTAACTGATTTTGAATTATTTGACAAATGTGAATCATGCAAATTAGAATGGTTGTAATAGGATTGATGTAGATACAATTATGAGATTGCCCTTACTCTTTATCTGAAAGAGGAGTTTAAAATTCTCTATTTTGAAATCATCAGTTGAATATAAATCGACTTTCAATCCCTGTTAAGCACAATGACCAAATCTTCTTTTACTTGAAAAGGTGAAAAATCTGCACAATTTCTGAGTCTCATATATAGTGATGTATGTGGACCTATGTCAATTAATGTTATATGAGGTTTCTCTTATCTCATCGTATTTACTATTGATTATTTCAGAATTTGTCATATATACTTGATGAAATTCAATTATGAAGTTCTTAAAAGGCTTAAAGGATTCAAACTAGAAGTAAAGAAGCAATTAGGTAAAGATATTCTCACAAAAAGATCCGATCGAGATGGAAATATCTTAAAAATGAAATTTTAGATTATCTAAAAGAGAATGAAATTCACCCCTCCACATAGACTACAATATAGTGGCGTATCTGAATGGAGGAATCACACACTATTAAATATAGTGCAATTAATAACAAGCCATGCAAACTTTCCAAAATTATTTAGGGGTCATGTACATATTGCCACATGCTACACACTAAATCATGTCCTATCTAAGTCGGTCGACAAAACTCCATACGAGTTATGGATAGGCAGTGGTCCTAATTTATCTCTTATGAAAGTTCAGGGGCTATGATGCTTGTGTGAAGTACACTAACTTGGATAAGCTTGAGTCTATATCCGATAAATACATATTTGTGTGATATCTAAAATAGATATTTGGATATCAATTCTATAAATCTCATTGAGAAGCAAGTCTTCATCTCACGACATACATCGTCCTAAAGAAAGAATTTATTTTAGAATAGATCTTTAAGGAGTTCAAGAATCTATGGATATAGTTGTCCAAGTAGATGAATTTGAGTCTAATCCCACACCTTCTGAGGGACATATTCTTGATCAGGAAGTAGAGAATTCTAAGGACACGTTAGCTCCGTGCAAATCTTGTACGATCATTTGATTTCCTAGAAGATGTGAATATATGATTACTAATCAAACATTACTAATCTAAGATAATGAACCCATTAGTTATGTAGAAACAAAGTCAAGTGTTGATTCAAAGTGATAGAAGAGGTCAAATAAAGAGCTCGATATATGTGAATAATGTTTAGACCTTGATCGACTAGCTTGATGGGATGAAATCCATAGGTTGTAAATATGTTTACATAAAATGGTCGATATGGATGGAAAACATCTATACATACAAAGCAAGGCTAATAACAAAAGGTTATAAACAAACGTAAGGAGTTGGCTTTGATGAAACCTTCAAGCCTATAGCGATGCTAAAGTATATTCGAATTTTGCTTGCAATAGCTAAATACCAAGACTATGAGTCATGGTAAAAAGATGTCAAAGCTACATTCCTTAATAAAAACTTGCAAGAGGAAGTATACATGACACAACTAGAAAAGTTTGAATTCAAATATGCTTACAAGGTATGGAAGTTTAATAAATTCTTATATGGATTGAAACAAATCTCTTGAAGTTAAAATCTTAGATATGATGAAACATTCAATAGATTTGATTTATCAAAAAACGAAGAAGATTCGTCCGTTTACAAGAAGATAACGACAGCATTGTCGTATTCCTAATATTATAACATACTAATAGGAAACATCTCTATATTTCAATCGTTGAAATCATGATTGTCAAATAATATCACCATGAAAGATACGAGAGAAGCAACTTGATCTATAGAAATAGAATTAGAAGATTGCTTAACTCATTTCAATCTACATAGACCGAGAAAATGAATCGAGAATTCATCAATATACTGATGCTAACTTCTAATCAGACTAGAATGATAGCAAATCTCAATCAGGATATTGGCTTACTCCTAAGCAGTGTATTGGAAAGGTTCAAAACAGGAAACAATTGTTGATTCAATGGTGAAAGCCTTATACACTATTACTTTAGAAGCAACTAAAGTTGTTGTCTGGATCAAAAAGTACGTTAATGAACTTGGAATAGTTCCTAATATTGTTGATATCAAACTTCTGCATTGTGATAACAATGGAGCAATTATGCAAACAAAAACAAAAAAAAAAAACTAGGATTTCATCAATGATCAAACATGTGTTAAGGCGATATCATCTCATCAGAAAGATAGCACAAATAAATGATGTAAAGAAAGAATGCATTTCCATGGTTGAAAAATAGTGCAGTCCATTAACAAAGAGATGTCACAGTATAAACATGATTGTCATGTAAACTTTTATGATATATAAGTAATTGGATATAGTGCAAGTGGGAATTTGTAAGCGGTATGCTTTAGGTCTAATCAACTTTTGACGTAAACACTTTTAATATATAATTGATACAATTTTATGACAAATATATTATTTAATTAATATTCAATTAAATTAAATAATAGAGTCCGTATATTCAAATCTTAATAATTTGTTAATGACAAAAAATTGTAATTGTAAGATACAAATTACAAATGGCTGAATCTCAAATCATCTATAGCAGTAAGTAATAAAGAGATTGGATATCGTTATTACAGATAGACTATCACAGGTAGCATTTCTTACTTGTGAAGTAAGTAGCTATCTCACAAACTAAATTGTGGTGACAATTTAATGAATACGTGGATATTTTATTATAGAACAAAATATTGGAGATATGCTGGAGAGATTCCACATGGATAACTATCTTTAGTGGTTAATTTTTAACGTTCGGTAGTGGAATTAGTCATTTGACTTGAAGTCATCATATATCCATATATGAGGACGATCATACTTTAGTGATGTTCCACTAATATGACATTGTTCGAGTATATCAAGAATCATATGAAAAATGTTGAATGTTTGAATGATCAATAGATGATTCGTCACTCTTAGATAGTAAGAGTTTATGATTTACATTTTATTCAGTAAAGTTGATAACGAAATCTCTGGCCAAGATATGCTCATAAGTCGAAATGGATTTTTCGACTTATATTGACTTAATGCAATTGATAATTGAGATTGACAAATCCATATCTCATAAATTGATCGGATCATATTAATAGAAGGATTATAGTTTTGTGATAAACGAATAAGTTTGATTTTTCCATATTAGGTGACTGTTTTCCATCACATGTGTTGCCATGACATATTGTTAGATGTCAATCTAGAATGACGGATGTGAATTAGTGATAAATTAAAAGGGATGTTTTAATTTGTCGATTTTGATTAGATCAAAATAATAATTCATGTCATTATGGATCGTGATTAGGAACTTAGTGGGTCACATACAAAAAGAGAACTAAAATAATGAGATTTACTAATTAATTCATTGACATGTATTAACAATTAATTAATTAGATTGTTTGTTAATAGGCCCAAATTAATTAATTGAATTATTAATTCATGGACCAATTTGAATTAATTATTGGACCGAATCCTTGGTGGAAATTAAAATTAGTACGGTTTCTATCTCGATACAATAGATCTTTGGTGAGAATTAAAATTATTTCATTTTTCACTGTACATGATTAAGTAAATTCCCAATACGTTGAACATTTTTAATTAGTGGCATGATGCACAACATACAATATTTAACTACAAGACTTGCACACGAAATACGATCCTCCATCTATTATATATAAAACAAATTGAATTCTCTTTATGAAATGAGCAAACAGATGAGCACATACAATTCCTAGTGGATTCCACTAGATTACCGAAAAACCAGAAGGTTTAGGCACTTAGAAAAAGAAAATGAGTTAGTAGGGTTTTTGGTATTGGCAATCCAAGTTAGGTCCGGTGTCGACCTTAAAGATGCTGGCATATCTTTGAAAGAAGCCAATACGATCTGCAACTCTTCCATCAGTGGGTATTCCACACTCCAGCCCTCCATTTATAATGTTGGTCACCAACCCAAAACCTGCTGTACGATTGGCTGCCAAATCCTCTTCTGTTGGAACATATCTTCCGACCATGATACTGTGACAAGAGGGCTTCGGCTTCCGCTCTGTCATCCAAAACCAGAAGGCAGTTTTGAAAGCAATTAAGGAATTGTTGGATACTGCATCTGGATTTTTTAGACCATCGAATCCCAAGGCTTTTCCTGCCGGACCATAGTTAAAATTCCTGTCCCCATTACATATATAGCATTCAAATTAGTTAATTCTGAAATCTCAGCTAGAGGTAAAGCCAATCAATTGACAATATATGTAAAAGATATATTTACCATGACAATTGAATAGGACCTCTTCCTTTGTAAGACTTGCCAGGATAGCAAGGCCATTGTGTGTTGGTGGAGTCACAGTAATCAGATTGAGGTCTGACTTCTTCTTTGAAGCACAGGCCCCATGCAAAAGGGCCATCAGGGGCAGTTGCCCAACCTCCGGTAGTCTCATGGGAGATTTGTGCAAGAAATGCTGCTATTTCCCTCTTACGCATAGCTAAGCTTCCAGTATTCCCAAATCGTGGAAAGCTCCTCGACGCTTTGATGAAAGACTCATAAGTATAAAAGTCCTTGGCCGGGCAGGCATTATCGTCCTTGTGTAGGAATATTGAATCATAGAGCTCTTTACTAACAAGAGAGGAAATGGAAAAGGAGTCAGCAGCAAAACAAAACAAAGTGCACCAAAATAAGAAGAGCAGAGCCATATTTCGAATATGCATAATTTGTAAATGCCAAGTCTCATCATTCTTGTGAGATTTATATTGGATTGGATCCAGTAACGTGTTCCATCCATTATTGATGGCACAAGTAGTGGCTTAGTGCTGATGAACAGGTCAGAAGTCAATTCTCAAATGCCATTATTTTATCACCTCAAATCAATGACCAGTTTAATTATAAAGTTTCAAATGATTTCGATATTTGACTAAGCGCCCAACTGCTGACCGCTGACTAATAATTGTTGACTAAGTCGTGGATAATTCTAATTCTCCAAAGTGGGGGGAAAAAAGTAAAGAATGACAACAGAAAACCAGTGTTGGTTAATTGTTAACAAGATAAAATTATTTGTACAAAATTTGGTTGACAATATGGTTTATTTACTCTCTCATTCATGTGGATCCTCCTTGCATTAAAAAATTCGGCCATATGGTTCCTACTATTCTATTGTGAGAGTGTGTAAAACTTTCAGTACAAATATGTTTGTACATGTAGCACAATCCTTGTTATTATGTATGTAAAAACCCATTATAAAAAATGGGTTTCAGTTTGTAACGGACAACAAAATCGGTGCATTATAAAAAATTATTTTCAATAAATTAATCATGGTGTGTTTGTTACTTCATATTGAATTAAGGATGATAAAATTAGCAGAGGTAGAATCAGGAGATTATATTAGGATGGATTAAGTTCGCTACACTGAAATTAAAAAAAAAAAAAAAACATATTAGTGTTGAAACAATAAAAATTATGATAATTCACTACAAGAAAAGATGGCTTCCCCGACCAAAAAAATATTAGTAGGCAAAAATAGTGTTTTTCTGACTAATAAAATTTTTTAGTTGGTTATACATTTGTCGACCAGGTTTTTTCCGACAAAATAGAATGAGTCAATTAAAACCATCTTTCCCGACCAATATAAGATTAGCCACCAAAAGCAATTTTTCTTGACCAAAAAGTATTACTAGTGGGCCTAGACTTTACATATTTGCTGACCACAATGAATAAGTCAATGAATATCTTAAGTATTCGTTCACGTAGTTGACAGGAACTTGCGCATTAACATTCATTGACCATGATAATACAGTAGTCGGCTTAATTGAGACACATATTTGCCGACCAATTTAAAAAGGTCTGTGAATGTCTTATTTTTGAAACAACATTTTTGGTGGGAGATTTGATACCTTAATATTTGCCAACCAAGAAAATTATTAGTCGACTTTAACAAAATACAATTGCCGTCGATATGAAAATGGATCGGTAAAATAGTTCTTTGGGCTAAAAATTTTTGTTGGAACCAATGCATTTACCAACTACGATAGATACTAATCGGCCTAGTCTAGGCATAATAGCCAACCAGGTGAAATGCTTTGGTACATATCAAATTTGGGGCCAAAATTTCTGTCTAGCATAGCATATACTTGGATTTTTAGATCCAAAAGCATTTGGCTAGGTCAAGGAGTATGTTTGAGTACATAGATTATTCACAAAGAAATTTTATTTTGTAAAAATGAATATAAATTTCATTTTTATGTTCTAAAAATTTAAAATTTCGAACAAATGAAGCGAAAATTGTAGAAAATGTGAGAATTTGTGAATAATAATATTTTTCTCAAAAAAACCTTAAAAATTTCTATGCTTCTTAATTTTAGCATATACTTTGTATTTATTGCACTATTGAATAAAATTTGGGAAAAACTACTAGATGCTATCTAAAAATGTTAAATATTATGAGAAAGTATGGAATTGGAAGAATGAATATATTATAATCCAAAATAAAAAATATATTTATGATCAAAAAGTAGAAAATTTTCATTGGATGCTTTATAGATCGATGAAAAAAAAAAGGAAAAAACCTAATTGAGCAAGGCATCAAGTAATTTGGTCTAGATTTTTTACAACTAGACTAGATTGAATTTTGAGAATTGGAATAGATTGAATTTTCTTAATAATTTACAATTTTTTGAAAATCTAATCAAGAATGATAAAAGGGGAATTGAATGAGAAAAGAACTAAATTGAATAAATTGTGACGCCGAAGTTTAAAGCGCTAGCAAATTTGGTTAATGTGTTACCAACATCATTGTAACATGTCAACATGGTTACATTAGACTCCATCGTGGCAAACACGAAGTTAGTGAGATTACCACCTACGAGAATGTGTATTTTGAGAAGGCAAAAATGTATCTCGAGTTGTGAATTGTATTGATCTGTGGTTAATTATAATCTTAAAGTTTTGATTATACTAAACAAGACAATCATGTTTACTAACTATTGAATTTAAGTTATCATAGTTTTCAAACATCAAATGATAAATCGATCATCCATCATCAAAATATCAGAATTAAGACTATCAAATCAGACTCATAATGAAAGTTGGGATCGAAGTTAAGTCTTCCAAGCTTCCAGTACTTCCAAATCGTGGAAACCTCCTCGACTCTTTGATGAAAGACTCATAAGTATAGAAGTTCTTGGTCAGGCAGGCATTATCGTCTTTGTGTAGGAATATTGAATCACAGAGCTCTTCACTAACAAGAGAGGAAATGGAAAAAGAGTCAAATGGAAAGCAAAACAAAATGTTCCAAAATAAGAAGAGCAGAGCCATGTAGCGAGTATGCATAATTGGTAAAAGCCAAGTCTCTCCATTCTTGTGAGATTTATATTGGATTGGATGTAATAATGTATTCCATCCATGATGGCACAAGTAGTGGCTTAGTGCTGATGAACAAGTCAGACGTCAATTCTCAAATACCATTATTTTATCACCTCAAGCCAATAGCTGGTTTAGTTATAAAGTTTCGAAAGATTTCGATATTTGACTAAGCGCCCAACTGCTGACAGCCAACTAATAATTGTTGACTAAGTCGTGGGTAATTCTAATTCTTCAAAGTGGGGGTGGGGGGGGGGGGATCAAGAATGACTACACAAAACCAGTGTTTGTTAATTGTTATGTATGTAAGCAAAACCCATAGCTTTTCATTATGAGGAATTCTGAAATAGTGAACATTAGAAATGCCTTCTATTTCTAACTGGCAACAAATCGGTGCAGTATGACAAATTATTTTCAATAAAATAATCATGTGTGTTTGGTACATCGTATTGAATTAAAGATGATAAAAATTATCAGAGGTAGAATTGGGAGATTATATTAGGATGGATTAAGTTTGCTACACTAAAACACAAAAATATATTAGTGTTGAAACATATAAAAATTATGATAAATTTTTTGTCTAAGTAAATAAATAAGAAAATAAAATACGTTGTCAAATTCATGACTTGATAGTTTGATTACCAAGTGTGGTATCAGTGGTTATGGTGGCATGGGAATCAGCAGTGGATGCTTGTATTGGTTGAACATGGTGGCGATGGTGACTCACAGTGTTGATATAAGTGACGACTATAATTTGTTCGAATGTAGCATCGAGTCTGGGGGGTATTCTATAAGTTAGTTTCAGGTAATATGGTGGAGATGGTGATGATGTCAAATCTAGTGGAGATGTCCATCGGCAATGATGGTGGCAGGAGACAACGAGGAAGGGGCAGCTAGGGTTTGGCTGAATGTGGTTTGAGGTCTTGAGTCGTTTGGTTTAGGTCAATTGTGGGTGCGTGGTTGATTGTGGAGACCATAATGGTTTCAAATATGGTTGGTGGCTAGTGGCGGCTTGAAAATATTGTTGTGGTGGTTGTAATTTCTGTTGGGGAAAGGCATTGATAGGCTAGTAGTGGTGGTAGTGTCGATGTTGGTGCAATGTTGAAGTAAAAGGTATCAAGTGATAAGTATATTTTATACACTTATTGATGTCATTAAATGAGACCAATTATGATGCGAACCCAATCAACACGGTCGCTATCGAACCCATAGGAATTGATACCGTATCCCAAGAACGCCCAAATATGACCAATGTTTAGGATCTAATCACCAAACGTTGAACAAAGCAACTGAAGGTATATTAAATCAACGACCTCTTGATCACAAAGTCTCGAAATCACACTTGAATTGTGAATTTGAACCAATAAAATATGAACCAAAAAATCCAGCAAGAACAATGCTTGAAAGACCCCTTGATTACACAATTCTAAAATTCATATCCGATGTTTTTGAACATCACAAGAAATAAATTTTTGATAAGTAGTATTATTGTTCCATCAAGAAACAAAATTGAAGCAAAGCTTCGAAGTCGCGTAGTTCATTTGAAATCCTTCAATTTGGTCTCAGGAATGATCTATGTGGTCACATGCCTTTTATACTATGTGGTTGCATAGTATTAAATTTCAACACCAACTTTTTCATGTGCAGAATTTCGTAGCAATTTTGGATTGTACTCATGGGCGAAAATCAGACACCTGAGCTAAAAGTTATGCCCAATTTAATTTATGATGCTCGTTTTTCCATATATCGTCTGAAACTTTGAATCCAATTCTCTTCGGCTCTCAACCCGAACATGAAAGTTACTCCTTGACATGTGAACTTTATTATTTTGGACCTTGTAACCTCGACACTTAATTGCATGATTTTATTGACTTTGATCAAATTCGACTTTGCACTTAGTCTCTTCTCGCCAATCATAGAACTCGTTATCTTCAAGATGTTGGACTTGGTTGTTCAAACATATAAATGACCATCTTTATCAACTCCTTCGAAGTTTGGAACTTGGCTCGGACACTTAATTTGCATGGCTTGTTAGCTAGAATTAAACTTAAACTTTGCACTTGGCTTTCTTCCAACAATAATCAAATTCTCGGTAGTTTGGTGCGCAGCTCGGATCATATCAAATTATCATTAAAAGGATGTGTGAGCCTCAGTTATGAAAAAATGTATTTTAGAATAATAGATCGATGGGAAATGTGTGGTTGAAAAATTAAATTTTTTTTTTGATTTATGTGTAATATTATTTTAATGAAGAATATGTAGTTGAAAAGAAATAAGAGAAAAATATATTTTGGAAAAAATTGGAATCAAATAAAGCCTAAATTTGATAACTTATGACTTTATTTTATAATAATTATGTTTGTTATTTAAAACTCGAGTAAAATTAGATGAATTG